TATTGACAACAGTCATAAAAATGTTCATACCCTTTGACCCAGTAATCCCACGCATGGGAATTTATTCTGAACTAGTTCAGGAGACTAGATGAATTAGAAGCATGAAAATATCGATGCAGCATTCTTCATAACAACAAATATATATATGTGGGTGGGTGTGTATATTTGTGTGTATATATAGCTTAAATGTCTCCCAAGAAGGTAATATTATACAGCATTTCAGTATAATTATGTTATTTGAAAAAAATTAAAAATATTTAATAATAATGCATACTACAACATGGATGAATCCTGAAAATATTATGCTAAGTGAAAGAAGCCAGACAGAAAAGGAGACATTTATGATTCCATTTATATAAAATGTCTAGAACAGACAAATCTATAGAGACAGAAAGTAGATTCATAGTTGCCAGGGGATGGGGGCAAGGAGAGAATGGAGAATGATTGCCCCTATGTATGGGGCTTCTTTTTGGGGTGGTAAAAATATTCTGCAGTTAAGGTTGATGGTTGTACAACCTCATGAATATACTAAAAACCACTTAACTTTTTACTTTCAAAGGGTAAATTTTATGTTATGTGAATTATATCTCAGTAAAATATATATATGTATATATATATGAAGTCTTCCTAGTAATATATATAAATGCTTATGATTCAGGGAGGAGAAAAAACTATAAAATTATATTCCTGATATGATATGTACATTTATGGGTGAGGACTAAAAGACATCATGAATAAATGAAAACTGACAGTTCGATACAGGTGAATATTTGATAGGGGGGTGACCATTATATTGTTCTTTGAGCAATTAGATATTTTATTTTCTTCCCAAGACAGTGTCCACAAGAGGGCAGAGAGATGAAAAACCAAACCACTTCTCACAAGCTTCAGCCGAACAGTTAGAAACCCAGAATCCAGTGTGGAAAGCAATCTTAAAGGTCATCTAAGTCCAATTTCCTCACCTTACAAGGAAAAAACTGAGGCCCAGAGTGGTAAAGTGGCTCATCCGAAGTCAGCAGGCTGTTCACGCAAGAGGCAGAAGCAAAACCCCCCCTTGTCACTTCTCCACCCATCCTCTTTCTACCAAATTACAGTGCTTCCTTAAACAAGGCAATGTTTAATCTAGAAAAGGAAAGCTTTAGAAGGATATGAGGTGAAGGGCAGGTTCTTATCAAGAATGGGTTTTTTGTTGGTTTTTGTTCTTTGCAGCAAGAAGTGGCAGATCTAGGGAATTCCCTGGCGGTCCAGTGGTTAGGACTCGGCACTTTCACTGCCATGGGCCCTGGTTCGATCCCTTGTCGGGGAACTAAGATTCAGTAAGCGGCGTGACGCAGACAAAATAATAATAATAATAATAAGAGAGAGAGAGAGAGAGAGAGATGGCAGATCTAGAAAGAAATTTCAGGGAAGCAAATTTCAGTCTAATAAAAGAACAACAGTTAAGGATGTCCAAAAGGTGGGACAGGTAGGGGATTTCCAATTAAATCAAAAGCCAGAATTGGTCATCTCTGAGGCAGGCTATTCTCAAGATCCTGCTACGGATAGGTACTTGGGGTAGAGGCCTTCTCAGTTCCCTTCCAACTCTTTAAAGGGTCTATACGCTTTTTATTCGTGGGAGTGGGAGAGTACAGCATCACTGGATTTCATTACATCAACCCAGGTAGAGAATAAGGAAGACCTCTCACTTGCTAATATCTTAGTTGGTTTTTTAAAAATAATTATATTATAGTGAATTTCTGCTTTCAGCTGATTTTCACTATGTCAAGTCCTTTAGGAAGCACATTCCCAGAAAAGTCTTAGTGATTATAATATTCTAGGGCTGGTAGCAAAGCAGAATTTCCTTCCAGAAGTTCTAAATTCATATGATTTGTGCCATTTCTTTGTTTTCAAAAAATGGCTGGGCTACACCACTGGCTATTAGATACATGAACATCTAGATGTCCTCTGGGGGTGGGTAGGTAGCCTAATCCTGGGAAGCACTCAATTTCAGTACCTGCTCACAGGCCAGGACAAGAGGGAAGATGAAATCCAAAGATGGTTTAATCAAACAGTCTTTCCTACTAAGAGGTAAACATTCTTTAACCTCTTTCTCACTTCTTAAGTAGTAACCCAGCCCACACCCACAAACTCTCTCCTATGGAAAGCTTCATACCAATCCACACTGAAGTGACCAATGGGGGTAAGAGTTGGGCAGCAGACCTATGCTGCAGCATTTCATAAACTATAAATACCCCTGCTTTTCGGCATAGAAGGACTGAAACTCCAGATGTCAGGGAACAGCCTCCATAATTGAAATGAATCTGTCAAAGGATGACAAGAATTCTGCAAGGAGAATCTGCAGGTAAAAAGGGCCATCTTACAAGCAGTTCCCCATCTCCTTCCCATTAAATTCATCTTACCCTCAGAGTTGTTGCATTCTGAGGCCTTCTGCTATAATCACTGGCCCAGAGGAGCTCCGCCCCATTTTAAAATGATAGTCCGAGAATGACCAAACCCAAAACACTTCCCTGGTTCCCCATAAACAGCTAAGAAAGACTGGAAATTTCTTTTTTTTTTTTTGCTGCACCGTGAGGCATTTGGGATCTTAGCTCCCCGACCAGGATCGAACCGTGCCCCCTGCAGTGGAAGCGCAGAGTCTTAACCACTGGACCACCATGGAAGTCCTGGAATTTTCTTAATTATAAAACAAGAGAGTCTAGAGAAGGGGAGGGGAACACTTGTAACCCTACCATCACAATACAATCCATCATTCCTATTTATTTCTTTCTAACCATTATTTGCAAGCATTCATACACAGATTTACAGGAAGCCAAGAGGAACTTTTTTTAATACAAAATACACTAATACACTCTAGGAAAATTCATCCTTACAGGTAGAACCTTCATTCTATACCAGTAACTCACTAGACACTCAAGCACTATTTGAAAGGGAACTACTAGTTATATTTGCTTACTCTACATGTGCTAGCTTCTATATTACAGCAACTCTTTAAAAGTACGTACTATTATCTCAATTTTAGAGGAAACTAAGGCTTTAAGTGGCTAAAGAAACCCAAGACCACAGAGCTAAAAACTCATGGAACCAGATTCAAATCCTAATCCTAATCCTCCTGACTCTAAAACCCAAAAGTTTAAAGTCAAAAGACCATCCATACACTGGGGGAAAATATCTCCAACACATACGACGAAGGGCTAAGGTTCCTAACAAGCAAGGATACCAAGAAAATAGATTTCACAGAGACAAACAGGAACACAATTAAAAAAAAAAAAAAGGTAGATGAAATCATCAGGCAATTCACTGAAGAGGAAATGCAAGGGCCCAATAAACATTTGAAAAGATGCTGAACTTTACTTGGAGTCAGGGAAAGGCAAACTGAAGTCATCAGATACTATTTCTCACCCATCATGTTGGCAAAAAATTAGAAGAAAGATAACAGTCCATACCGGTTACAAAGAAAGGGCCACTTGTACTGCTGGTGGAAGTGTAGATTGTTTACAGTCTTTTCCAAAAGTAACCTGATACAGTATCAATCAAGATTTAAAGCATACATTCTGTTTGACCCTGCATTATCACTTATTGGAATCTAGCCTTAGAAAAACAAAAAGCACCAATACACATATTTAAAGATATTTATTGTAGCGTTGCTCATGTTGGAAAAATAGAAACTCCTCATCAATAGTTCCTGTTTGAATAAATTAAAATATATTTTTATAACAAAAACTCATAAGAAAATTTGAGAACAGTAAAATAATTTTCCAAATCAAGTAAAACCTCAATCACTCTTTTGTTTCTTTTTCCTTATAGACTGTTTTTAATATATTTACATTTTGCAGATATAGTACTAAATAACATGTCAATAAATTACTAATTAATAGCCTATGAAAATGTCACATGATAATTTGACAAATTATGTTCTTCAAAGGAAATGTATATCAATTTCTGACAACTTTAAAAAGGTGTGACATTGTAAATTAACTATACTTCAATTTAAAAATACTGACAAAAAAACAAAAATAACTTGATATGATGAAACATTTGAGTAAATTAATAGTAAAAAAAAGTGTGAAAGTTAATTTGGTTTTTTTTTTTTTTTTTTTGGCTGCACCGGGATTGCGGCATGCAGGATCTAGCTCCCGGACCAGGGATCAAACCAGGGCCCCCTGCATCGGGAGCGCGGAGCCTTAATCACTGGACCTCCAGGGAAGTCCCTAATTTGGTCTTAAAATCATGGTATATAAATTCATTGGCAAATTTTTTTAATATATGGATGCAAAAAAAAACACATCTACAAATTTCATTCCTCTCAATTGATCTGACCTTTTTTTTTTTTAATCAGTAGGGAAAACTAGCCAAAGTAATTTTACTTTTTAAGAATACATATGCCAGGGCTTCCCTGGTGGCACCTGCCAAGGTAGGGGACACGGGTTCGAGCCCCGGTCTGGGAAGATCCCACATGCCGCGGAGCAACTAAGCCTGTGCACCACAGCTACTGAGCCTGCGCTCTAGAACCTGTGAGCCACAACTACTGAGCCGCGTGCCACAACTACTGAAGCCCACGTGCCTAGAGTGCGTGCTCCCGAACAAGAGAAGCCACCACAATGAGAAGCCTGCGCACCACAACGAAGAGTAGCCCCCGCTTGCCACAACTAGAGAAAGCCCACGCACAGCAACGAAGACCCAACGCAGCCAATAAATAAACAAATAAAATAAATTTTAAAAAGAATACATATACCACTCAGAGTTAACTTCCAGAAAAAAGAAAAGGACTGAGTGCTGTACACACAAATAAAGAAAAGCAAGAAAGCTGGAGTAAGTGTACGTAATTTTAACATCACGTTCCTGGTCTCCAGTCTTCCTCTGCAAACTGAGGCATCCTGGGCTGTTCCTTCCACACTTGGGAATTAAATAAGGCCCCCTTGAGATGCTCAAGTTATTGGTTCCCTAGAGTTTCCCCAAAGTCCCCATAAAGCCATATGAGATATAAAATCATGAATTTTCCCATGAGTCCCCATAAAACAGTGTCATCTGTTCCTTCTGCAATTTTCTAATGCATTCTATTTACACCTCTTAGGACACAGTTCAGAACACTGAATGGGGCAGACTTTGATATCTGTGTACCTGTGTTATTATCCCCCAATGGACTGTAAACAACGAGGGAGCAAGGTGTGTAGCTCAGAATCAAATCCCAAGTTTCAGGAAGACCTGACAATTCAGCCAGTCTAACCACCTGTGTAAAGTTTGAGGGCTTTCCACAATATACCAACTAGAAGAGTCTGTGATAGGGGATTACACCCTACCCCCCTACCCCCCAGCAGCTTGTTCCTTCTTGGGAAAAGTATAGCTCCTAGAAAGTTCTCCTACAAATGGAATTTAAATATTTTTCTGAAATTTTGAAACTTAACCCCAGTCTTACCCCTTGGTAGCCCACAGAATAGATCAAATCCCTCTTGTCACAGGACACCTTGTGAAGTATTAGAACCCTTGTATTTTTCTTCAATCACCTAACTCAGTGCTTTGCACATTTAAAAAAAAAATTGTTAAGTAAACTTCCTCCATCATCCATCAATGTACCAGGGGTGAAATAATGTGGTATAGACTCTAAAAGATATTTTATTGGTTTTATAATATGTCTTTCATTGCATTATCTCATTTTAAGAAAAAATAATCAGGAATACGATAGCCAAGAATTCAGAAATTCAAAACATAAATACATTCTTCTACCACAAAAGCTTTCTCACCCCTTTAAGGTTTTCTCATCTCCACTGCAAGTGACAGCTTCTTAAACACTGTTGGGATGCCTCATGTGGGCAAAGCTGGGCTGGGACAAGCTGCTCAGCTGTGCCAGGAAGAGTCCATCCTCCAAGGGAAGTTTCTTCTCACCTGCAGGATCCCCTTGGCTTCCTGGGCTGACTCAGGACTTCATACGCAGCCTGGATCTCCAGAAAATGCCTCTGAGCTTCCTCCACCTGGTGCCAATTGTGGTCTTCACGAGCTCCAGGTATCTGCAATGTATTTCTTCATTTGTTGCCCCCTCTGAGAGAACCAAAACCTTAGGGGAGACACAAGCTAACAAATTAGAACCTCATAAGTTGTCAGGGCTCCTGAGCCTCTCCTTGCTCCCTTCCTAAATCAGGCTGGAATTGGCTTCCACTTGCTGGTGGGAAAGGCACAGAACCTCAGATTAGAATTCCAGCCTTTTGAAACATGGACAACCTCTGGATCTCATGGCAAGAACCAGGATTCGCTTTTAATCACAGATGCTCAATTTCCAACCTGGAACTTGGCATCCCTGACAAGATCTCCTCCTTGCAAGAGAAATAAGCATATATGTCCACCAAAGACATGTACAAGAATGTTTATAACAGCTTTATTCAGAACAGTCCCAAACTGGAAACCACCCAAATGTTCACTGACAAAAGTGGATAGATAAACTGTGGTATATTCATACAATGGGATACTATACAACAATGAAAACAAACAGTTTATAATCCCATGCAACAGTATGAATAAATCTCACAAACATAATGTTGAATGAAAGAACTCAGACACAAAAGAGTACACACTGAGTGATTCCATTTATATGAAGCCCAAGAATAGGCAAAACTAATCTATGGTAATAGAAGTCAGAATAGAGGTTTTTTCCCAGGAAAGGAGGATAGATTGGGAAGGGGTATGAGCGAACCTTCTTAGTGCTAGAAATATTCCATACCTTCATTGGAGTGGTGGTTACATAGGTATCTATATAAAATTATCGTACTCTATATATGTTATACCTCAATAAAAAGTAAATAATATACATGTATCTTTCCCCACTCCCTGTTAGAGCCTCTGAACCTTCACCCATTGCACACAGAAGCCCAAAGAAGCCAGGACACCCTTCCGGGGGCTGACCCAGCAGACATGAAAACAGTACTTCCACATTACGGGTACCTGCTCCAATAAGGCTTCGCCTAGGGCTTCCCTGGTGGCACAGTGGTTAAGAATCCGCCTGCCAATGCAGGGAACACGGGTTCGAGCACTGGTCTGGGAAGATCCCACATGCCGCGGAGCAACTAAGCCCGGGCACCACAACTACTGAGCCTGCACTCTAGAGCCCATGAGCCACAACTACTGAGCCTACAAGCCTAGAGCCCATGCTCCGCAGCAAGAGAAGCCACTGCAATGAGGAGCCCGCGCACCGCAACGAAGAGTAGCCCCCGCTCACCGCAACTAAAGAAAGCCCGCACACAGCAACGAAGACCCAAGGCAGCCAAAAGTAAATAAATAAATTTATATTTTCAAAAAAGACTTAGCCTCACTTCCGGAGCCATTCCAGACAGGAATGAGAGGGAAGAAAACTTACCTGGTAAGCCAACTGACACTTCTAATCCTGAAAACTGTGAACAAACTCATAGAGCTTTTACCACTCTGGGAAGTAGCCACTGCTGAAGCCATGATCTCCCACCAGCAGCTTCCAGACCCAGTAAGGCAGGAGGACAGACTCCATCAGGTGCCCACGGAGGGGGAAGAAGCTGAACCAACTGAAGAAGGAGCCAAGGGTCTCTGCCACATAGCTAAGGGTGGCAGCCGTGTTGCATATGGCACTGTATGCTAGCGGGCATGTGAAAGCAAGGTAAGCCAAGCCCAGGCAGTAGAGCCTCACACTGAGCATCTCTGACCCAACTGAAGCTTTGCAGAGGCGATGCTTCTGGGCTGTGATGCCAGCAGCCAAGCTGATGGGCAGGATGGCTATGGGGTGGCCATAGAAAATAGGGGAAGTACAAAACGCTGCTCCTAGAGTGTTCTTAAAGTCTGAGGTCTGGTTACCAACAGCAGCCATCAGCAAAACCCCTAAGCCAACTGCCAGTGGGAGGCCCACAATATAGAAGCTGCCCATGAAGGAGAGGCTAATGAGAGCCACAAGGCCAAAATAAATGCCCACTATCATCTGGGCAGCAAAGTGAATGGGACTCAAAGGGTGTGTCCCCCCTCCTGAACTCTGCCTCTGCCGCTGGGGTCTGTTGGCCTGAGCAACAAAGCTTGGGAACTTCCAGAATTCCCAGAGCCAGCCTAGGCCATCCCTTCCCCTCCCCCGCCCCCCAGGGGCATCCAGAGCTGTGCGTGGCTGTTCCACCCAAGGTACAGGTGATGGAGCCCAGCAAGGCCCCCTACAGCCCAGAGGGCATAGGTCATCAGGAGCCCTGTGGCCATCCTCTAGGAGAAGGGTCTCAGAACAAGTCCAGTGGCCCCTGCCATTGCTCAGAATGCCAAAATCTGGGATCATCTGTGAGAATCATGGCAGTCACGGGTCCAGAGTTATCCTTAGACCCTAAGACATGGAAAAAAGCAGTCATAAGATTATATCCAGGTCCCCACACAGTAACCATTTCTCCTTCCAATATTAGTCAAGTCCAGATCTTCCTGAGTTTCCCTGAAATTGTGGTTCTCCCATACCCTTAGGTCTAGCACCTCATCTCTGTGTTTTACAACCACAGTGACTCCAAATTTAGGGGAGAAGAATGTTTGAAATGCTTTCAGTTGAGTAACTGAGAACTCAGCACACGGACAATAAAAAGCAGAAGCTTAAATTTCAGACCTTCCCTCAGACCTCTGACCTCCTGGTCAGCGGGGTGCGGGGGTCGAGGTGGAATGAATCGGAGTGAATACAATGTCCCCGAAAGTTCCTACACATTTTAAAAGTCCCCTGCCACACAGCCCGCTCCACCCGGCCCCAGCTCCGACTGTGGCTGCCCTCAGACACTTGGCGGAGATTTTAGCCCCTCTCCAGCCTCCCATCTCTCCAGACCAGGACATCATTCCACAAGTCAACCTTGAAAGAAGTCCTCAGTTCCCTCCAGCTCTGAAAAACTACATTTTGACCTAGACCCTGGCACCCCGCAATTCAACCACCTCCTTCCAGGGCAAACTTGTAAAGTCTCTCCACAGCGGCCCGATGAATCCCCAGGATATCAAACCAGGCGTAAAGTGCCCCTGCTAGTCTCTCCCCTCTACACAGAGCGGGCCTCCTGACCACCAGCCAGCACCCGCTAGTCCCAGAGTGAGCAGCAGTACCTGGGCACCTCGGCTCCCAAACCCCATCAGATCAGTCATCTCCTTTGACCACAGAGTCAAAATGGCCCCTCTCTTTCCGCTCCCACGTCCATGCAAATGGACTTTGTCTTTCTGTGTTTGCTGTGTCACGGAAGTCGGGCCGTCCTGGCCAGGCCCCTCCCCAAGGCCCTCCCTGGCCCCTAAGGGATCACCTTTCAGGCTGGGGCTCCTCTCGCCCGCCCGCTCGGGTAAACTCGGTTTAAGGTGTTCCCGGCGTATTCCGCCTTCCCAGGCTCACCCCGACTGACGCAGGGCCCACTCCAGGCCGAGAGCGCCTACACAGCGACACCACGACCGCCAGGTGGCGCTGCCGCTCGCGGACGGGAGGTGCCGGGCGGGTCCCCAGACTCACCTTGTCCAGATGCCCGGGCAAAGCAGCCCCGGGCGGTCCCCTATAAAAGCAAAACACAAGCCCTTGATCTCCCCTTTCCACCCCCGCAAATGGGAGGGTGGCTCCTCCCTCACCGCAGGCTGCAGTCCTCTCTCCCTGTTCCAATGCCGTTCAAGGCTGTCTTGGATGGCTCCACTTCCAATTCCCCTAAGGCAGACACACCAGTGGACAGGCTGCAGAGAGGGGGGTCTCCCCCTGAGTTTGCCTCACTGCCCCGCCTCCAGGCCTGCCAGTCAGGGGCACTACGTCTAGATCTGAGCCTGAGACCTGAGGAGCCTCCCGTTCCCCCAGGAACCCCAAGTCAGCTGTATGTCGCTAACTTTGGCGAGAGGGAGAACTAGGAGCAAAAAGGGATGGGGGTGAGGGCCTCCCCGCGAGGAGAATAGTCTGCGTCCTCACGCCTCGATGCTGGAATAGAACTGGGATTCAAGATGCCTTCATTTTAATGTCGTGGGCTCCAACCCTGCTACGTGACCTCGGTCAAGTCTGGCCGCTTCTTTGGGCCTGTTTCCTCCTCTGTAAAGGAAAAGCGTGGATCTCCAAGGTCCCCCAGCTTTGACTTGGGGTTGCGGTGGGCCTCACCCATGTCGCCTCCCCGCAGTCGGCCGAATGCTTCTGTCCCCTCCTACGTTCCCAGCCCCTTCAGTCCTTATCCCCGCCCGGCGAGGGAACGCGCCTCCCCATGTTGCCCCCTAGGGCTCGCTGAGGGGCCAGGGCTGGGAGGGGCCTCAAAGCGACACTGGAGCCGCCAGCTGGGGGGCGGGGGCGGACGGGGGCGCTGAATAATGAGTGAGACTTAATTGGGCAGGCACTGCGCAGCAGCGCGCTAAGCTCGGCAAATAGCTCCAGCGTCGGCAGCCGCCGCTGGACAAACAAACTGACTCCGGGCGCGGGGAGAGGGGTGGGAGAGGCAGCGGCGGGAGGGGGAGAGAAAACGCAGGCCGCCTGGGCCCCCGGGCCGCCGCGCGCCCCTGGCTGTGAGGCAGGAGGAACCCCCGTGTGCCCGGCTGAGCTGGCCTCCCAGAAAGTGAGGACCGGGGAGGAGGCTCAGGGCTTGACATCAGGAAGCCGGGACCGGGGCGGGAGAGAAGCGGATTGTGCGGTGGGAGCCAGGGCCCCAAGGGCTACTGAGCACGAGGAGAGGATGGAGAAACAAGTGAAAGGCGGAGGAGAGAGGGAGAAGTGAGAGGAAAAAGCGCACCGGAGGAGGGGCTGCGGCGGGGCGGGGGCGGGAGAAAAGCCGTTACCGAGAGGAAAGGGAAGAGCGATGGAGGAACAAGCGAAGGGAGGCGAGGGGAGCCGAGAGAAAAAGAACTGGAGAAGAGTCAAGGAGAGGGATGGGAGATGACCGGAATGAGAACGAGGGGGCGGCAGGGCGAGCTGGCGGCGCCCCTACCTCCGCCTCGCCCCGCTGCGCTCCCGCCCTAGCGCTCTCTCCAGCCGCCCGCACTCACTTTGTCACAATTACGGGGCCGTCACTCGGCCCGGATTGTTTTCCCCAAATTGTTGTTCTATAAACCGGCGAAGGATCTGACAAGCTGAAGCGGGAAGGAAGGGTCTGAGCTGCGGTGGGGACGTGGTGGTGTATTTACCCAGGGCGGACCCAGGGCGGGCAGGTGAATCCAGAGACCCACGCGGGAATTCTGGTTGCTGCCCCAGCCTCGTCGCTGACATCGCTTTTAACCTTCCTGGCCCTTCTCAGCCTCGGCTGCCTCGGTTTCCCCAAGAGAGAACTGAGAGGCTTGGAGGGCAGGAGCGGCGGAGGCGGCTGTAGGTGGGGCCCGAACTTGCCTTCTCACCCCATTCTCTTTTGTTCTCTGCTACCCCGGTCACATGGAGAGGGGGTCTATCCAGCTTGGCCTCCCCAGAGCGCCCTCGGGTGCCTGCTCATCCCCGCTGGATGGCCAGACTCTCAGCTCCGACAGGTCTGGGCCGTCCCCCGCCCCGCCCGCGCCTGCAGCCCCGGCTCTGCGCCGCTCGGTGCCCACGCCACCTTGCTGTCCCTCAATTCCGCAAACATCTGTTGCGCGCCCACTGTGAGCCAGATCCGCGCCAGCCTTCCCCCCACCTCTCCCCCGCCACCCTCCCCTTCCCGGTCGGCCTGGCCTGTCAGCTTCGTGACAGCCGCCGCTGAAGCCCAGGCCCCGCGGGAGCGGCCGGAGAGGAGCCGCCGCATGGCTGGCTCCGACACCGGCCTCCCCGGCGGCTCCAGGGGCAACGGAGGGTGGCGGCCGCTGAAGCGAGACCAGAGCCGCCCCGCAGAGTTAGAGTTGCGCTGGGGAGTGGGGAGCCCAAAGGCGGGCTTGTCTCTCGGTCTCTAAGGTCTATCGGTCTCCTCATTCCATTGCCCTGGGGTTGGGCCGGGCCGGGACCTCGCCTAGCTCCGAAAGCCTGGGAAGCTATTGGCTCCCGCGCCCCCTCCCCCAGCTCGGGTGATTTACACTCCGGCTCCGCTCAGCGGCCGCTTCCCAATCAGGAATATCGACCCCGGGCGGGGCCCCCGGGCCGCATCGATCCCTCTAAGGCTCGGGATTTAAAAATGTCAAATTTGCCTTTTCCAGGCGGGTGGAGGGGGCGGGGGCTTGGAGGAGGGCGGCTTGGGAGTGGGGGGGGGCGGGCGGATAGCAGGACATCGACCAGGTGCCTGCGCCCTGAATGAGAAGCTACCAGGCCCAGGCCGTGGCCGGACCCTGACATTACCTAGCCATCCTTAGGTTGCAGTCCCCTCTGGATGGGGGCAGGAAGGAAGCCCTACGGGGCCTTCCCCATCCCCATGGGCCTCGCTGTTGTGCTGGGGTATTCCCAGAGGGAGAAGCCCCAGAGGAACAAAGAGAGACCTCTAAAGTAGGGAGACAAATTTGGAAGAGACTCCTAAACGTAAAGACATACAGACACAAGGAGGGGTGCAGAGACAAAGATATAGAGGCTCCAAGAGATACCCTATGTTTAAAGAAGAGCAAGGCAAAGGGAAGGTGGCTCAAAGACACACTGAACAAAACAGGGGACCAGAGACCCAGAATCACCTCAACTCCCTGACCTATAGACCCAGGAGATTCAGGACTGGGAAGGTCCCCCTTTGGTGTGTTTGAGAGTGGGGAAGGAGAGTGGAGACAAAGCCAGGTGGAGAAAGAGAGTTATTAGGGGAAGGAATTAGAATATAATTAGCATTATCCTCCCAAGGTGTCCACTAGGAACTGGACCTGAAATCCAAAAGGTAAGGGTCCTAGAAGCAATAGCCCAGGCCCCAAAGAGATGGGCTCTTTGAGAGGTCTAATGGTCTGCCCTTTCCTGTCCTGAGATCTACCTCTTCCTCGCTGTCCACCACCAGCCTGGGGAAGCCAGATGGGTTGTGGCTCACATCTTATATTGGAGACTGTATATGTGATGGCAACTGTGTATATGTGGATATGTATGTGGACTGTAGAAAACTCTGGTGGTAACCACTTCCTTCCCCGGGACTTAGCAACTGGGTCTCCAGACTTTGGAAAAAACCATCCACTACTTTCAGGAAGCTTGGGAAAGGGATGATGTTGGGGTGGAGGTGGTGGAAGGGAGCAGTTGTCCAAACCAGCACCCTCACAGTTAACATCTATCCCCCTCCCTCTCCCCAGGCAGCACACCTCAGCTGTCACCGTGCACATTACTGTTTCCTACAGAACAGGAGACAGAGAGCTGACAGCAAATGTGGGGGGGGGGCCCAGTCACGCGGGGAGAGGTGGTAGCTCATCCTCAGACACACGCAGCACACACCTCCACTGACAAAATCAGGCCGACACGTCCCTAACACTGACACACACAATCACTGACCCCCACACGCGACCCACACCCATCAATCCCTGTCACAACGCACCACCTCTGCGTGCGCAATTATGCACGGTTCCTCCTAGGTCAGGTACAAGCGCCTAGTCTTAAAGCCTGTCTACACCCTGTCTTGACATCTTAGATCTTCAATCGCCTAACCTAAGCAGAGGGCTTAGGTCCCCGTCCTCGCTCCCCAAATTCTTCAACCATGGCCATCTCCAACAGGTAAAAGGCTGAGCTTAAGGAAGTCAAGTAAGTACCAGGGTCGAGGTGAAGAACCGGGAGCTGACGGGGCAATGGGGCTGCTATACGCCTCCCTTATTCTCCTTCCTGCCACTGCCTCTTTCCCGGCACGTCCACTCGCGGCCCGTCCGGCCCGCCGCCCGCCTGTCAGTCGAGTAATGAATGCGCGCTCGGGGCCCTGCCCCCCCCCAAGTCGTTCATCACTGCCAGCACCGCCCACCTCTCTGCCGCCCTCAGGGAGGGCTAAGCGGCCCAGGCGGCGAAAGCCCGTCTCCCCCCACCTCGACTAATAATTTTCAGATTGAGATGTTGATTTGTCAGCTGGGAGCTAGCGCCAAAGAACCCGCAGTAAAAACCGGACTCCTTGAACTTCCTCTGGCTCCATTCGGACTCGCCCAGCCTTGCAGCTTTTCTGGATTTGATGTGCATGGGTTGGATTTCACTTAAGAGATCCGGGTATAGAAGCGCAGTATCATTTTATTCCAGTAGGAGGCGCACCAGGCTACAGACCCTAGGGGGGCTCGTCCTGGGCTCGGTTCCACTTCTTCAGACCCGAGGCCCTAGGGCTTCGTCCCGCAGCCTCCCAGCAGGGGGCGCGTTGGCCACCATCTTCCTCTCTCCCGCAGCTGAAGTCCCCGCTTCTGTACAGGAAGCCCCCAGGCAGCAGTCCCACAGTCCGCCTTCAGGGATCTGAGGGGGCCATGTC